AACTGGGCCTTCCACATCAGGCTGCAATGATTTATTGCTGTGTCAGGAAGAACATACAGCTTTGCTTCAGGTTTTAATTCAGAGACCAGCAATAATCCCAGGACAAAGCCCTGCTTGGGTTCAGGGTTTACTCCCATCTGACACTCAGTGTTCTCTGCTAGCATCCACACTGGGGTTGGATTGCTGTAAGCACAGGGGGAGGAAAGCAGCACGATGATGGGGAAATCACATGGTTTGTAACCAAATATTTGCAGGAGTCCTTTGGGGGCAGGCTGCCAAATTTCAGACAGCATGCAGTTGTTGAAGGCAGGAGACTGTGCCAGAACTCTGAGGGACTTCTCATAGGGTCAATCCCCAACCTGCCTTCTCAAAGAGTTGCCCAGTGCTCCTTCATTATGAGAAGGAATGTGATTTGGAAGGACGCTTTCCTTGCAAACAAGCATGTTTTCCATAGTCTGAATCAACCACAGTGGGTTACCAAGCCCAAAAGTCCAAGTCCCAACAAATCTCTGATCAGTTGTATTTCAGAAGAGCTCTCACAGTTTCATTTTCATTTCTTTCAGATTTCACTTGTGCTATTAAAAATGGAGGCTGCAAGCACTTTTGCCACCATGACCCGCCACAGAAGGTTGTGTGTTCCTGCGCCGAAGGCTACAAACTTCATGAAGATGGAAAGTCCTGTGAACCTACAGGTTAACATTTAAACTGGTTTTAAGGGATTTAGGTTCAAGTTTTCAAGGTCTTGTCCTGGATTTAGATACATGAATCTCATAGAAATGCAATATCCTGTTGGAAACCAGCTGTGTTTTGCTGCTTAGCAAATGTACAGAGCCTGACCCTGTGCTTTCCCAAGGGCAGATGTGGGGTCAGGCTCCAAGGATTCAATTTAAACATCCTTTTTTTAGCCTAGGTGGGTGGAGCAGGAGGGTGGTTGTCCAGGAGCTTGTTCATAAAGCAAATGCTTGTTTCAGATGGCTGCTCACACGGGCACCATTCCAACTTGCATCCATCTGATATTTCTAGCTATGGATCAGTAGTTTCCTGGAGGCAGAAAGGTGATGTTCAGCTACACCAGTGCACATGCTGGTGTCCAGCCAGCCAGAGCTCACTCCCATGTTCTTCCAATAGGAGATACTGTTTAGTTACTGATTCTGCATTGAGGATATATATACTCCTCTGGGTTTTTCAGAGCAAAAGATAATCTTTCTTACTGTAAATTCTCCTGATGGTTCATTTCATGGCTGGTCAACACCCAGCATCTTCTAATTGACCTAGATGAGTGGAAACAAGTGAAGTTTTGTGGGGATGCTGTCCTCCCAACAGAGTCCCTCAGTGGGAGCTACTCTGGTTTAGCCATGGTGTTGAGTGGGGTGGAAGGGAAATGCATTGAGGCTGCAGCTTCACAAAAGGCTAAAGGAGAGCTGGATGTTGATGTATTCCCCAGCTTTAACCTGTTTCTGCATTATTATAATGCCTCTAACTACACTGACACGTGCAGACCCAACCCACTGCAACACAGCAAGTTAATTGAGCATGAACATCTCAGAAGTACATCTGGCAGAGAAATTAGGAGATTGAGCAGAGAACTATTTTGTCATCCAAAGTCAATTTAACACCTGATGTTGTCATGTTTCTAACACCTGAGAGTATTGGGTTTGTACACCTAAGCTAGCATGTAGATACAGGTGAGTTAGTTTGTGAAAGTCTGACAGCTACAGCCAGGAACACTTTGAACTCCTCAAAGTTCTGGCTTTCAGCACTCAGTGTAGGGAGTAACTTGGTCTGGGAGTCCTGTTAATGGAGGTCATTAAGAGCTCAGGCCTGTGTTGTCCAACATGCTGTATCACTTTCACTGGACCAGAAAGGTTTACTGTTAGCAATAAGATCATCTTTCAGGTTGGGTAATTGCCCTTCCTGCAAAAGCTTAGCTTTTGTTGGCTCTGAAACTTTAATTTCCTATCCTAACCTCACGGGTAGCATTTTCCATCACTCAACAGTTATTTAAGTCCTGTTCCTAAAGCAGACTGTTTAAAAATAAAGGGTGAAATCTCAGTAGGCCACACTCATCTGATTTTACACTAATGCTTGTTTGCTCAGTGCTGTCGAAAGCTTTTCAGATGAAAGACAATGCTTGATGCTATTTACTATTTTGACTGCCAGACACACACTGTGTAGGAGAGAAATGGGAAGAGCTTGTCTGAATCGAGCCTGCAGATGAGATCTTCATTAAGAGAGAAAATCTACAACACTAGAAAGAGTTTATTAATGTTTTCCTCACCTTGGTGCCAAGCAGGATTATCTGTACAATTGGCAGATATTATTTCCTGCCCTCTCCCAGCTGGACTTTTATTGTTCCGGAGTTACTTGCTGTAGACATGCTGGCCAAGCACCCAACTGTCTGCCACAAACCTCTCAGGTATGCACCACAAAGTCCCACACCAAGCAAAGGCACAGCTGCACCAGCCTGTCAGGTGTGCATGCTCAACACAAGATTTTTTCATTTTAATAGCTGGTCAGATGTCATTTCTAAAGTCCAGAAACAATTCATGCTTTTGCTACTCCTACATATTGCCCTCACTGCAGGTCAAAGGCACAGGGAGGGAACACATGGTCAGCCCATGGCCCTGTATCTCCCATGTCAATCCCAAACAGGGTGCTGAGATGAAGCAGCATTTGCCTTCTCTCCTGGTCTGTCAGTCGCTGTAACTCTCAGCATGACACGCAGCCAGCCTTAACCATGACTCTTTCAATCCCAGTGCCATATCCCTGCGGGAAGATCACAGCTCCTGAAGCGAAGAGGAAGCTCACCCGATCCATGAACACCTTTGAGGACTGGAACATCACCAGCGATGACCTCGATGATGCTCATGACGAGGTGCTCGACAACATCACGGAAACCACCAACACCACTGCCATGAAAATCACGCCAATATTTAAGACGGGCACCAGGGTTGTCGGCGGGTCAGACAGCATGAAAGGCGAGGTGCCGTGGCAGGTACTGGCCATTTCTGCAGCTCTCCTGTAACCTCAGCAGTTGGTCTGTGGATTCATTTCATTCTGAAGGCAGGGTCATCTTACTTTTAAATACCCAAAGCCCATCTCTGAGGCTAAATTATCAACAGGTCTCAAACCTAGCAGGGATTTTCTTTCTGTACACAGTTTTATGCCTGGATGGTGGACTGCCTTGGCAAAAAAAGCCAGAAATCAGAGTCATAGCAGCTTTATCTGGTGGGGCACGAAGGATTTGGTATTGAGCTGCAGCAATAGATTGCCCAGTAGTCCATGAATTTACCAAAATTAAGCTAAAGACTGAAGGAGAGGAGCTTTGCAAGGTGCAGCTTTGCAAGGAACAATGCAGCTTATTTTTTGGATCCATCAGTTTCAACAGACCATAGAACGGTTTGCATTGGAAGGGACCTTAAATCTTACCTAGTTTCAACACCCTGCCATGGGTAGGGACACCTTCCAGTAGTCCAGGTTTACACAAACCCATGGGTGTGATTTCCTCCTGCTCCCACAGGTTCACCTGGTGAACAGTGATGGCGTGGGCTTCTGCGGTGCATCCATCATCAATGAGAAATGGCTGGTGACAGCGGCACACTGCCTGAAGCCAGGGAATATCACTGCCGTGGCAGGTGAGCACCTCGGGCAGCATCAAGTCAGCAAATGGGGAGGGACAGGGCTTGTACCAACCAGGACAAGGCATTGCACAGAATCTGACACCTGCAGCACCATGATGGGTAGCAGTGTGACACAGCTTGCTATAGGCCCCAGTTGCAGGCTGCAGTGTTTCATCAGCCTGGTCCCTGCAGGTACTAGCACCTCCAGCAGGAGCAGTGAGCTGGGTCTGGCCTTGGTCCCAAAGCTGCAGAATTGCTGGACCACATTGTAAACACAGTTACCACAGGAAAGTTCACCTGAGCCAGAGTCTCCTAGGCTGCTTTAAAGCCCAATGGACTTCAGTTAAGATGCTGCCTCTAGCTAGTGTGATGGATTTTTATCTCTGCTGGCCACACAGGATCTCACTGGGGTTTTCTGATCTTCTTGAGGCTCACAGTAAGTTTTCACACAACTCTCAGAGAACAGTTTAGTGGCTAGTGCAAGAGGGGCACCAGTAACCTGACTATATCCTTGCAAGGAGAGGATGACTACTTTTGCTTCTAACTTCTGTAGAAGTAGATAGAATTCATGGATTGCAGTAGAGAAACTGGGCTGGCATGTGGGAAAGTGTACACCAGGGTCTTGGAGGGTTAGGCAGGCTGCACAACAGGTGACGCTGCTACTTCACAACACAAAGTATCTGCTTGAAAAATGGTGTTTCTCCCAGCTCATGGTACCTGGCTGTTCCAGACCACCTGCTAGGCAGCCTGGTGATAACTCAGCGTGGGGCCTTGCTGAGCATCAAGGTGCCACATTTCACAGCTGTGGCAGAATCAGCTTTCCCCAAACTATTTGCTTCTCCCCAGCATGAAGATCTACATAGAGGGCCACACCAAAAGGTATAGGACAGGAACAATGATATGATTAGTAATTGCTACCAGCATCACTGAGGGGAGGCATGGAAGATTCACACTTTCTGTTTAAGCACTATGAAATGTATTAGTGGCAAAAATGACATTTTACCTAAGCCTTGAAACATCAAATTTATACCTACACAAACAAGCTCATCAAACAGGCTCCAGCTGCATCCTTATCTTCCATGTTAATGCAGCTGATCTCCTGAGTGTGCCTGGCTGGGCCCTGGAGACTGAGTGCCATGGGGACTGGGCACCACTGCCCAGTGTTGGCAGGATGAGGCTCACAGCTTGCACACAGCATTTTTTGCTATCTGCTTCCAGGCAGTTTTGCTGGAAAGCCCAGCACAAAGCCCAGCCTTACACCCACTAACATTGGAAATGTCCAGAGCAAAAATAATTTCCCCCACAGAAAAGCACAGTTCCACCTGGGCTGAAGTTTTGCATTTGCTGCATCTGCATGCATATTGCCTGTCCTTTCAGGCTCTCTTGCTTGTCACACACTCCCTCCATTTAGGATACATTATCAGCCAAGTCCCCTAGCACTCCTTTCACACCACTCTGCAGCACCACTGAATTTCCAGGGCAGGATTTTGTCCAGGCAGCAAGTCAAGAATCACAGAATAAACCAGGTTGCAGAGACCTAAAAGATCATCAAGTCCAACCCTACCATCATTATTAGACCATGACTCTAAGTGCCACATTCAGTCTCATCTTGAAAACCTCCAATGATCTTGCCGGGCTCTAGAGACAGTTGATTTTTTGCCTGTACCATGTACACTGCATGAAAACATCTGAGCCCTTCACATCCATTCCTGCCAAGTGTTTAGCTTTGTACATAACATCCTAGGAGGCCCAAAACCCTGTACCAGGCATGGAAGAAGCATTCCCCTCCCCTGTGCTTCTTTCCCTCTCCACTTTCATCTCTGAAACATTTTCAGGTCCCCAGCAATAACATGTAGCCAAAGCAGAAGAAAAACCCTCTGAAACTCTCCCCTACGTCTGTCTTGCATTTACACTGTAGAAGCACACCCTGCAAGGGAGCTGACATTCACACTCTGCTGCAAAAAAAACAAACCACCTCCCAGAGCACATCAGCAGCACCAGCCACCCCTCCCACCTTCGCACGACCGCGGAAAGCACTCACCTCCCTCGCAGGGCTCTGTGCTGCTCCTCGCAGCAGCTGCAGCAAGCACCGGACACAGATAGGGCCAGGACTGTTGCAGATATTGTTTAGAGGAGACGGTATATCCTGGAGATCTCAGCAAAGCATGTAAAAACCCTGCAGCAGGGGTTAAACACACCCTGTGCCTCTGGGGCTGCGAGACAGCAAGCAGGAAAAGTCATCCTGCTCTCAGCCTTCTGCACGGGCAGGAGAGAGGATTTGGCTACAGACAGACCCAGGTCCTGTCCGTTCACTGACCCAAGACCACAGAATATATTCCCTTCCCCTCTACCTGTTACACAAGCTGAGAGGGGAGGTAACAGGCTGCCAGCAACTCAATGACAGCAGCAATCACAAGCAGCTGAGCCTCGGGTGGGTGCAGGGACCCAGAAACACCTGTGAGCATAGGGAACAGCATTTTGTAGCTCCTTGCATCCCATTCTGCTCCGTGGCTGTGTGGTTCTAGGCAAGGGAAGGTCAGTTCTCTTTTCATTAATAAATGATTTATTTTAAAGCAAGATTTGCCCCTTTTAATGCAAGGACAACATCCCCTTACATCTCCTTGAGGGTGCTAAATCCCCAAAACAGCTACAACCTTGGCAAAAGCATCTGGATCTTTGGCACTTGGTTGGATGATGTGTGCCTGATGTCACACCCGAGGGTTCAGGTTCTGCTGGCTGCAGGGACCAAGTAGGTGCTGCCATGTGGGAACTTCCAGCTCCCTTTGACAAGGAGCTTGGCTAGTACCAGTCTCAGAGCAATCCAAGGGCTCAGCCCTTTACAGCCATGTGACTGGGCTACTGTTGCATTGGGATGGCACTGCCAGGGCATGGACACTGGTCTGGCTGTGGAGGGATCCAGCCCAAGTCACACTTGTCTCTGCAGGTGAACACCACACTGACAAGATCGACCGCACAGAGCAGCACCGTAAAGTGGTGAAAATCCTTCCCCACCCCACGTACAATGCCTCAGTCAATGAGTACCACAATGACATTGCCCTCCTGGAGCTGGACCAACCCCTCATCTTCAACAGCTATGTCACCCCCATCTGCCTCGGCAGCCAGAAGTTCACCAACGCCCTGCTGAAGCAAGGGATGGGGACGGTGAGTGGCTGGGGCAGTCGGCTCTTCCGCGGCCGCCCGGCCACCACCCTCCAGGTCCTCAGGGTGCCCTACGTCGACCGTTCCATCTGCCTCAAGAGCACCACCAGCTCCATCCTGAAGAACATGTTCTGCGCGGGTTTCCCGACTGGGAACAGTGACACCTGTGAGGGGGACAGTGGAGGTCCATACAGCACCGAGATCGAGGGCACCTGGTTTCTCACAGGGATCACCAGTTGGGGTGAGGAATGTGCCCTGCCAGGCAAATACGGCGTCTACACCAGGGTCTCCAAGTATGTGAAGTGGATAAAGCAAAGCACAAAGCTCACCTAACCCACATGAGGTTATGCCGTGCTGGGGAAGCTACACCATGCTGAGGAATGGACTGGTTAGTTGAGGAGAGACCATAGCAATCTCCATGTTTGTCAGAAATCATTGTATTTTAATAAACATTTCTGAATGAAATAAATTCTGCACTTGGAAGGCAAAAGTTGAGATACTGCAGTGAAAATGTGGTAATAAGGAAATAAAAAACCCTTTTAATGACCCATATCTGCATTCCTGAATGCACTGGCACTGCTCAGATAATGTAAATCCCCAAATCCTGAATGCAGAAGTTGTACCAGCTCACACATGCCCAGGGCCAGTGTGCCACTGACATTGCCCACAGCTGCCACACAGCACGGTGGGCAGAGGAAGCCCAGGAGGCACTGATGCCACAAGCACTGGCACCCAGCATCATTCCAGTAGCAGGAGCCCATCAGGGAGGTGAAGATGCACAGAATTGCACCCACAGTGCTCTTGGCCAGATGTTTTCACATGAGCCAGGCTGAGATGGATCACGGGTAGTAGCAAATGCTCCTCCTGCTTTAGGACAGCATTAAATTGACTGTAAAAATGAACTAAAATCTGTAAAAACCTCATCTAAAGGTAGTGGCAGTCTTTATGCTACTGATTTCTGCTGAGCCTTGTTAGGATTATGAAGAGAACTGCTTAGTGCTCATTACCTGTCCTGGTCTTCATATTAATCATGTTACATTAGAGACTGCAGCAACAGGTGCTGCTGGTAGGGATGGAAACAGTGTGTTGCCTTCCCCAAATGAGCTTGTGGGATGTCCTCTGAGCACAGACAGCCTGGGACACCCCAGAGACAGACACCTCTCTGGGAGACACTTGCCCCATGCCCAGGGTGGACGCTGGCACCGAGGCACAGGGAAAGGGAAGTGGCATCCGGGGAAAGGCAATGCTGAGCAGAGATCCTTTTTTAGTCAAGTGGGTTTAATTCAGTTCCCAACCACAAGGGAAGAGAATAATCCCAGAGGAAGAGAGGTTTACCTCTGATCAATGCTGGTTCATCTTGTATCTCCTTCCATGGAAAACTCCAGGGGTGCACAGGGAAACAGCGTGGCCTTTGGGAACTGCACTGTAATGCTTGGCACCAGCAGCTCATGCACAGGACCCTGGCACATCCCCAGAGGCAGAACCCACTGTGACAAGGGTGAGATGTGCCCCCAAGACCACCTCCCTGCCGCCTCCAAAAGGGCTGTTGATGCCCATATGGCTCTGTGCACTCAACCATGAGCACAGCCCCATGGTCCCTAGCCCTGAGGTCCCTCCTGGCAGTGCTATCTGGAGCTGGGATGCAGGGGAGGCTGAGGATGGGTGGGATTCCAGTAGCTGTTCTTTCAGACATCAGTATGAACACTGAGGTGCCTCTCCCAGTTTCACTGCCACTACATCCAGCAACAAGATAATTGGATCATCTGCCACTGCTTACCTTGAAATCAAAATGCATATAAGAAGGTTATAGCTGTTACAAAAAAATTAAATAAAAGCAATGCAGTGAGATATTTTTTTCTCTAGAATTATAGCAGAAGCGCCTTTGGACAGAATTGCATATTCTCATATGGATTTATTTAACAAGTTTTTAATCTTTAAATATAGATTTAACACATTTTTTACAGGTACATATACAATATAGTTCATTTAAACTTGCAGTCAGAGAAAATTCTCTACTGTCATTTATACATATACATGAAGAGCCTAGTTCAACAGCATACTCAGGGAAACATACCATGTCGTGTGCAAAGTTTCAAATGTTAAAAACCTCAGACTGTACATTCAGATCTGCAGAACTTATCAACCTCATAAATTAATAAAAGCTTAGATTTAAAACTATGGAAGACAAAAAAGATTAAAACCATTTAATATGCAATGTGTGCCATGTTTGAGACAAATATTTACAGTCGTACCTCAAAATGTGTACTGTTACCACAAGAATTGTTACCACTATAAACAGCCCTGACAGTAACTTAAGACACTCCTAGTTTTCCACCTAGCAAGTGCATTGTGACCAATTTTACAGTAAATGAAAGGAACCTTCAGTGGCTTAAAACCTCTCTGCTGTGATTGCCAGTGGCTGAAGGATACTGGGATTTTTCTAGTTGTGGTGTTGCTCAGTTCAGATCCAGCTGGTCATGTTTTTGAGGGTGTACGGGGGTTACCCGCAGTACTGGCCACCCAAAGTGGAGAAATGTCCACTGTGTGATGGGAACCCCCAGGTAACCACAGCCATTGGGTAGTTCAACAATTCCTCCATAGAAAAATGGTCACAAAAAAACCCCAAAACAACCCCCAAAATGTTTCAACAACTTGGGACTGTGTGTAAGAATTGGTTCATAAATCAAAGTCAGATCAGAAAGGTCCCCCTTTAGTCCACAGTATAAACGTTTCATCTTGATGGGACAGAGCAAATTCACTACTGCATGCACACTATTAACCCTGCTCTCCACACAGTCAGGTGCTTTTTGCACACATCTGCTTAAAAGTTCAAACCACCTGCACCTACCTATGTTCTACAAAAGCAAACCTGGACAAAGAAACACAAAATTAAATCAGGAGTGTTTGACATTCTTTTTCCTTTTTCAAAAATTCAGTAGATACATTATTGTTAAAGATGCTGAAAAGTCTTATCACAAGAACATCCTTAGTGCAAAACATGGACATTTAACTTGGATTTATGGCACGTGTTCCAAAAGTACATACATTAATGTAAACTTCAACACTTGCTAGATACAGGTTTCAGCCTTGGGACGCTTTGGGACCCTAAGTGATTGGTGACAACCCTGAGTTGTCAGTTTGACCTGATCCAAACCTCACTGAAATCAACAGGGCTGACTGCAATGGGCTGGAGTCAGACACTAAGTGCAAAAAAGAGGATCTTTAGTGTTATTGCATCTTCTCACGTGAGTCAGCCAGATGATGCTCTTACAGAACATTACATTCACATAGCTGAAGTAGATACTTAAGAAAAAATCCACCCAGAAAATCAATTAAGCAGGACTTACAGCTTCTTTGTTTGGTTTTTTTATCTTTTTGGTTTACGAAAACTCAACTCTTTTATTTGCAACTTCAACAGTTGTCAGCTAATAAGTAGGCAAAGTCTACTTCAACCTGTAGAGGAAATTTCAACCATCTAAACAAAGTGCCAGGAAACTGTAGTGTACTTCTCTGATGAAACATGATGGATGTCATGGAAAAAGAGCAGGTAAAATTAACAAAATACCGTACTTTCCACAGGCGAAAAAAAAGAAAGAGCAGAGAATGGCTTCCTTTATGAGTATGAGAAGCTGCTTAGGACCCCAGTCCTGTTCAGTGCAGATGAAGCTGTGGAGGTCTGTGAATGTGATGAATAGTACAGGACAACTCCAACTATTGTGCTATTTCTCTGTAACACTTAGTTGAAAGCTTCCAAAGAGCATCGAAAATAGGATGCTACTAGTTCACCCTTAAGTCAAGGGGAACTAAACTTTCTCGTGTTACACAGGGCAGCATCTATAAAGTAATGGAGAATGATGTTAATATTAAAGCATCTTATTTCAAGAAATACATTGTTCCCTGTAATCAGGTAACATTAGTATAACATTAAAAAAAAAAATAAGTGCCCTCCTGCAGTTCTCCCTAAAAGCTGAACTCCCACTGGCTTCAGTAAGAGGCTTGCCTAAGGCAGGACCACAGGGTTTGACTCATTTCCATCATCTATCACTTCATTATCGCAGCAAGGCCAGCTGATATCTTCTCTAGACTCCTTATTTTGTCAGGCTCAAAATGGTTTTCTACAGCGTTACTAAAGAGCTGTTCTGTGAAGCTTAGCTGGCATCTCAGGTCGTAGGAGGAGACCCTGCTTTACGTTTCAAAGGCCAAAAAAGAAATCAGCATTGCCTCTAATGGACCCTGCATAAATACAAAAGCCTGTGGCTGCAGTTATTAAAGTGCGTGAGTGATAGTGCAAACAGCTGCGTTGCATCTACAAACTACAAGTGGAATTTTAACCACAACTTAGACAGAACTTGCACATTTCAGCCAACATGCTTAGCCTGCGAGAGCTCAGGAGTTCAGCCACATACGACACCTGATGGGGCAGGTTCAAGCCATGAAAGGGTTGCCTTAAGCTCACCACAGTCAAGAGGACAGTCCCCAGTGCCCTGGCCAGCAGGAGCAGAGGACATGCAAGCTCAGTCCTTCAGGCACTACCAGCAGGGGAAACCTTTGCTCAGCTTTATGGCATGAAGAGCACACAGAGGGGATCCCCTTAAGGCTTGGAAGAGATAATTTGGCAAGTGGGGTGTTAAGACAGACTAGGAGAGGGTCTGGAGTGTAGAACAGGAGCCTGTATCCCCAAATCACAGAATCACAGAACAGTTTGGGTTGGAAGGGACCCTGAAGAACATCTAGTTCCAACCCCCTGCCACAGGCAGAGACATCTCACACTAGATCAGGTTGCTCAAGGCTTTAAACACTTCCAGAGATGGGGCCAAACCTAGTGGGTGTGTGCACAGAGCATCCCTCCATGCCTGTACCGAATGCTTTGGGCTCAAGGCAAATTCTGCCATATCAGTTATTTTTTGATGCTTAAAAGAACTTGAAAGTTGTAGCAATGTTTCTTTTATATTTATAATAAGTAAAGGCATTTATAACTGTTTCCAGTATTCATTTGAATCCCTTTCTTATTCAGGCTACTCTATTTCATGCTCTCTCTAAAAGAAATCAGTCTCACACACAGAGTGATTGGAAATTGGACACTCATCCTTTTCTCTGCCCAGCTTTTAAAGGCCAGGTGAAAAAAGTTGAAAGTGCTTTGTCCCTATTTTGCTCTGATGTGAAAATCTGGGAGCAAACAACATGTTTCACTTAGTTTGCATCTGTTTACCACTGCTGAGAGAAAAGATAAGCAGGGGCAGAGCTTAACTTCAGTGAGAGGGGAGGGTGTGCTGCTGCTGGGCACAAAGTCACTGAAGAGAAAACAAGTCAAGGACCTCATTTCTGCCGACCCC